AAGAAATTATTTCTTGTATAAGGACAGAGATAACACAGACGATTTCATACTGGAGAAGCTGATTCGATAAAGGCAGTCGCCATTTTGTCGGGGACCCCTAGGGCACCGCAGCCCGTACGCAACGTGTGGCATGAAAGCACAGAGGAGCACGTGGATGGGCGCGTATGTGACGTATGTGACGCGTTCCTTTTGCAGTCTCTAGATTGCTCGTGTCACGACCAAATCCGGAGCCACAATCCGTTGCATGTCGTGAATTTATGCAACGGGAGAGCCGCGACGAATAGGATTACGTAAGAGAATGATACGCAGGGCGTGTCAAGTTCAGATTGATCATGTAAAGATTTTTTTCTTGCGCGACAACGAAGTTTTTGGAGCGGATTTTTTTTTCGTAGCAAAGAAATTCGGTTGCGACAATCTTTCAAATCTTTGATTGTCACGACCTTTAAGTCTGTAATCGGTAACGTTGCAGGGATGCAACGATGAGACACTCTGCAAAGACGTGGATGATAGATGATACCCGAGGGGAGATGGACAAAATTACTTGGCACAGCTTGCGTCAAAGCACCGACTCCGATTAATCTTAATAAATGAGGAACAGTATATATTGCTTGCAGTATATATATTGACCAAGCAGAATCACCGGTGGATTCACTTCCGTTTATTAAAAATTGTGTTAGGTTTCCAAAACTATATGTACAACGGAATTTTAAGTGACCCAATAAATTTTATACAGTTATGATTTTTGTATTATTCATTTATTACTCTTATTTCAATTTATTATATACCAAATAATTTCAAACAAAAATTGAATGTTTCGAATTTGTAGCGTTTCTAGGTAAAGTACCATTTTTTATAGCAATAATTTTTTCTATCTTCAATACATTTCAAAATACGTAATCAAATCATCACTGTAAACATTTTTCCCTATATGTCTCCGATACATTTAATTGAAATGCGTGATCAAATCACTTTAACATTTCGCGCGTTATTCGACGACATGCAATAAACACAGCAACTTCTTCGTTCATTATCGTGCAAGTATTTTTATTTGTACTTTAAACTTTTATATTTTAGAGAAGCCTCGTTTAAAGCACACGCTCACATCGTTCGCGGCTCAGCGTTCACTGTCGCCATCGGTTGAAACCGACTCCTTCGTCGTTGTCGTCGTCGTCGTTGAGTGCTACGGTTCTTCCCCCTTTTCCTTTCAGGGCCTCGCGATCGATTGGCGATCTCGCGCTATTTTGACTCCCGCAAATAAAAAAAACAGTAGCCTATCTCACGAAACGCGTCCTGGATGTCCCGAGAAATCGCGAAAGCATCGAGAGGCCTCGGATCCTCGCGATCATCGGCGACTACCAAACGCGGACCGAAGTATCGTCGCGAGTGACAGTCTCAATTTTAGAAACCGCGGCTCGCGAACGTCGGCGAACGATTCCGATCACTCGCGGCTAGGTCGACGTGGATACTGCCGATCGGTACCACTCGATGTTCTGTCATGATTTCGCGTGAAAACGTGACGCGACGCGGAACACGCGCTACCGTCCATATGTATCTTCGCGGGACGGGCTGGGGCGCGACGTCGAACGAATTGATCGGCGGGTCCTCGCCCTTGCGTGGAACCCGCGGAGACGCAAGAAGGATGCGTTCTTGTTTCACCGTTTCGCATGTGCGATCTTCCTTACGCCGAGAACGTGGACGGAGTGTGGCGAGTGACGGAGTTACCTGCCAGGCGGAACGGGGGACACTGCGACACTGATCAGGGCGCCGTATAACGGGAAGCCTATGAATTTCTCGAGCCCTCTCGCAACCCTCTTTTCCCTCTCGCTCTGGCACGCGTGCGCCCCCGATAAATCGCTCTTCCTTTCGCCTCTCTCGCGCTCTGTGCCACGGCGGGCAATCCGCCAGCCAGAGAAAGAGAGAGAGAAGGAGAGCGCGCGCGGATTCACTTCTTCCTCCTCGACCGCCGCGTCGTCGGATTGACGTGGGCATCCGTACTTCCGGTGCGCTTTCATCCCAGCACCGCGGAAGACCCGGATGCCCGAAGCGCGATGCAATTCCTTGCCTTGTTCTTATTTCGTTGGCGCGGATGACCGAATTTATCGAGTATTTGAAAATCCTGGAAACATCGCTATTGAGATCCTCAGTGGATTCTATAAGTAGTCACGTCACGTTGAGAGAATTACATTGTTAATGAAGCTTCAGCTCGTCTTCAGAAGAAAAGACCGATCGATAGGAAGGAGTGCGGACAGATCTATCGTTTCTTAAAGATGATCGATTGTCCTATATAGAAACGATCTCAGTTTCTCGTCTAATTGTGGCTTGGTCTTCGTGAGAGAAGAGGATTAATTGGCGTTACAGTCACTTAAGCAGATAATTAATTAGATATCAATTATTCGCGAATGTTCGTGTACGCCGCTCATTCCACCACCGCTCCGTTCGTTACGATCAATTCGCTTAAATTTATAGAACGTACATTTATATCGCAGGGGACGTCATGTACCATCTCGAAATGTCTGGCGCGAGAGCCATTAATTACCGTTATTAATTAATCAGTCTCGCTCCAATTGTAACTTCTGTTTTCCTCCTCGGTCGTAATTTCTCGCGAAGTCGGTTACGCAATTTCGACTGAAGTTAGAACGAAAAATATAATAGCGGGTCCGATATCGCGAGAGAGATATTGGGGATCTGCCTCGGGATCTGCTTAGAGTAAGCGCGGAATGTCAGTTATTTCGATGTTTACGTGGTACTAATTATTTTCTTACTAACGACTGCTTGGACGACGTTCACGTCGCAGCTGCTTCTTTCTTCGAAGCTGCAATTTCTCGGAATAACATTGCGAAAGCGACTGGACGATCTCGCTAAACGAGCTCGCACGAGTACTATTTTCGGCATTGAATCTCAACGTGTTTTTACGCGTTATACGATGTGCGCGACGAAAATGGCATAAATGCGACTGCATGCGAGATTTTATCGGGTCGCAATTTCTCGATTAGATTCACTTAAGCACCAAAATGAATGTTTCGAGTGAATGTCGCGTTGGAATTCCGCGACAAATTTCTAGATATTTATGTTAATAAAATGTAGCAATATTTCTCTCGTCACAAAGTCAAAGCTAACTAAGAATTATGTCGCGCAGTATATATTCGCAAAATAAAGAAAAAAATGTCGTTCATGCGCGGCTTTTTAAAACGAGAACCTCCTGATGAAAAAACGTCAGCGCCATTGCGCGGACGGGGAAAATTGATTTATTGGCGTTGGTATAATTATTGCAACAACACCTGAGTACATGATAAAAATCTCTGCAATGTTACAGAGATATCGATTATCGATATATCGGAAATTTGGTGGCCATTCTGGTTTATATAAATAACAGAGAACGCAACGAGAGAGAGAGAGCTCCATTCTCTCTCTCTCTCTCTTTCTCCTTTCCCGTTGAGCCTCGCCGCGAAATGATGTGCCTGCTGAAATGCCGCCTGCAACTTGCGAGGAATAGCATATCCATAATTCAGACACTCGTACGGAACGTGACGCGACTTGTACGAAGTAACGATCTAAGTTGACGACAATGCCAAAGCAACGCATAAATATATATGTTACGACTTCTTGGAGGCCCATGGCGCTTCGCCACGACTTTGCCGGGCAAATTGGATTTGCATATTACAAAGTGCGCGATATGTTTCGAGAGACAGTTACAACGTTAAGGGAAATACACCCTTAATCCAATCTTAATTGCCTCATGCATGCAAGAGCGCGGTATCTCGCGCTGCGATAATGACACGGTGTGTAATACAGAGTGTTTTCTGATTTTCGATAAAATTCCGAGAAACTTGATTTACCTGAAAGTCTTCACGCGCGCTTGTCACCAGATCGATAATATCTTCTAGGAAACGTTATATGTTTGGAGCAATGCGAAATCACATCGATCATGTACTGTATGTTTAGGAAAATTGTTTTCCGCGCACAAAATGTCGCCATGCACAGCTTATTCACTTATGCATAACGAGATAGGAATTTCTGCGGAAACAATTTACTGTAAATCGAGTATAAAAATAAAGTAATTCTTGTTGATATATTCGATAAATTCAGCTATCGGATTACGTTAATTTTTTACTACGTCAGCGGGATTGCCTTTCATTTCGTTTTACTTTAAAGTCCACGTCACGATGCAATTTAATTTTTTTTCTTCTTCACGCGGTGACGCTAATCTAAACGGATCGAAGTTGGTATTGCAATGTTATTACTTGCGTGACATGTATAACGGATTTATCAGGGACGCTTTTCCAATTTCGCACTTCACCGATAATATTAATTTGCGAGATCCCAACGGGGCCCTTTTCTACTTGCGCATCGCTTTCGCGAAACCGCAGGTTTTTTTGATTCTGCGACGGTAAAATATATTCGCTATATAACGTCATTTTGCGAGAGTCCCACGCTGCGGGAGATTTCCACCTACGAGACTGCGGCGCAGTCGGATTGGCGCCAGTCAGGGCCGTATTAACGTAAGGCAATGTGTTTGAAGCACGTATGCAAATAATCCCCTTTTGCTACCTACCTTTTTCTCCCCCTCCCTCTCTCCCTCCGTCTGTGCGCTGCTGTTTGGTTGTTTTGCAATATTTGAAAGTTCGCGCAACTTCCTATCGCATTTCTTATTCATCGTCTACAGTCACGTGCTAAATGTGCAACGAGAAGATTCTGTTTTATTTAAAAAAATATATTTATCTTCTGCGATAAAAAATAACACAAATTAACTCGATGTGCAAGAAATATAAAATGATAAAATTATTTTTATCGTTCGATAAAAAATGTCTGCAAATATATATAAAAAAAAGAAAGGAAATTTTTTGCGCAGTAATTTAACAGCAAATCGTTAAAAATATTTATATAACATGTTATTTTATTAATATTGATCTTGTGATTGTTACTTGATTCATTGTCCTTTAGCTTTTAATTGATCAAAACGATGGAAGCAATAAACTACGCATCAGAAATCGATTAAATACACTTTCTTATTACGGCCAATTACGTAATTCGTTTCTTGTAGACAAAAATTCATCCCCGAAATGATGTTCCTCGGACCATCAAAAATTCGTTAATTTGGCGAGAGTATCTCGTGACGAAAGCACGTTTCACTCGGCTAGGATCAGCAAATGAGATTTAACTTCTCGACGAATCCCTACATCTTTAATTCACGAAACTGAATTACATCGAGTGCGGCCGAAGGTAGTAGTCTTTGACCCGCACCAAGGAATGGCTGACGCTTTCATTTCCGGAAAGCAGTTTTACGCCAATTTCAATTAATGTCGGACAAATACGTCGCCGTGATGCTTTTAATTTCCTGCCATCCCCTCGAAACGTTCTCGATACCACGCGGAAACTCCAAACTTTCTATATGATCGCACAACGAGTTTATGCGCACGAGCATTATACTCGTAACAAAGAATCCATTTCTCTGAATAATTCCACGTAACAATTAATAGAAATGCATGTTTTTTAACGCTACGCTTTTTCTCTAGATTTTCCGCCCTATTTTCCCACATAATTTCCGGATCCTGCTAACATTGCTGACTAATTATTTGATGTAGAAATATTTCGCTTACCTGAGCAACTTTTTCTCCCATGTTTGGTGTGTGCATCGCTCCTTGAAAATACTTCGCAGATCCATTGTCTTGTAAGGAAAACTGTAATGATAAAAAAGCACGTATTAACAAAGTTATTAACAAAGTATTAATAGTATTAATATCTTGTGTGTGAGGCTAATAAAATACTAAATATAATACTATATCAAAATATATATCCATTCTTGTTACATTTATTAATTAAATAATTTCATGTTTAATTGATTAAAAAGTGATCTTGAAAATAGGATCTAAATACATAAATAATCTTCGTGTTTCCGACAATGGTAAACAACTTACTTTGTGTTTAATGGAATCCGGTCCCATCTGACTCAGAGACGGCGACTTCCTGTCCCTGGACGTTCGCCATTTCTGCAAATCGCTTTCAGAAGCGACGCCAGGAAAGATTTTCGAATGTTTCGCTGCTATAAAAAACGAATGGCAGACGTAAGTTTCCTTCATACACTGTACCACGTGAAAGGCGAAGTGATATATTATCGTTATCGTTAATCCAAAATCTATAGGCGCGAAATACAGGCTCGATCAAGTCAAATCTATTCGAATCTCAATGAATCTCTGAAACTGGCGACAGCGAGTCTAATGAGCTAAAGTCACAAGACCAATCGTATTTATGTACATCGCTAATCGACAGACTCTCGATTTATTTGACGAATTATGGAAAAAGCTAATAGTGTAGTAATCTAATACGAAGACAGGCACGTGTGTACTGTACATATCTTTATGTCTAAATGACACAATTCTTCCGGCCAAGTTTTATAATAGTACGCGCACTAATCTAATGTAAAATACAATGATACAACGAAACGATCATAGCGCATCCAAACAACTTAATTCTTGTTTTAAAGTGGGCGATGTTTTTACAATTAATTTTAACATCGTTATTATTATATAAATAATATTTGTTAAAAAAATACAGTCTTGATCCTAAGCACCCACACAATTTGACGTAAATGTTCTGTATCTCTATAACGAAAAATAAATTAAAAATCAAGCTAAATTGAAATATATTTATTTTTGAAGTATTTTTGTATTATTGAAAAATATATTTTTTTAATAATTTCAATATTTTGTTAGTCCTCTTTTATATCGCTTTTTTCCAAGAAAACGCAATAAGTTAAGAATGCTTTATACTTACGATCAAGATTGTAGATTAAGAAATATTTCTTATTTCTTTTTCCTATCATTTCTTTGCTCAAATATTGTACAAAGAATAATATTAATCGAAGACCTTATTGGCGATCGTTTCGATGTTCACGGATAGACGAATGGATAAATAACCGAGCCTATATCTCTCTAGAAGCGTTCAGAGGTGTGTTAATAATAAAACAAGTTATAAGTTAATCCGCACTATAGAAGCTGCATACCTGTGAAAGAGAGATTTTATATTGTTTTGTAAAAGTCGCGCGAGACGATTATATGTATATCACGTGACGATATGACGTATTAATTAGATGCTACATCGGGTACTATATGTATTATATGTATATAATGGGAGGGGATCGTCTTGCTGATGATTTATACAATGATATATGGCGATTGTTGTATTGATCGCGGCCTCCGCGATTAGGCGCGGTCCACGTGGCTCTCCGCGATCGGTATACCGTACGTAATTGTACCCCGGGTAAATGCTCCCAAATATTGCACCGTGATATATTTGCATATATGTGTTTGAGTTAAAGAAGCCGTGAATGCTCAATCATTCTCGTCCCGTTGTTTAAAGAAGAAGCATAGAAACTTGATCCTCAATCAGCCAAATGTACTCGGAATCCTCGATTCTTGCCGTTATCAAAGAATCAGTTGATCGAGAGGAAGATTCGTTCTAATGTCGAATCCAGATCAAATAAACGAGCGTGAACAAATACGTGAGTGAACAATTTGCTTTGATAAGTGCGAACGGCATTGAGGCAGGTCAACCATTCGTGTTGTCTCGCGTTCGTTCGCTTCCGAGCTCTATATTCGGCATGAGAGAGCAAAAGCCGAGACAAGAATAAATCGATAACTTGGAACGAAAATATACATACATTCACAAGATAAAAAAGAAATACGAAGTATTCGTCGTTTTTTATCCATAAAAATAACATATTGCAGAAAAGGCAAAATGTGGAAACCAAATTTTTATATAAAATTTACGAGTCATCGACACGAAAGTAATTCGGATTCTTTTTCAAGAAAAATGCATCTTTCGCAAAAAAATATTTCATTGGTTAAATCTAATGGATGAATAAAGCTCAAATTGTATATAAGTTGCCACATTATCAAGGAAAGCAGGTTGCTTCATGTAGAGTACAGTTGAAGACATCTAGGTTTGCGAGTATAAAATGGCTGATCGAGCGAGGCTACTGTGCTCGTCTGATAATCGTACGGCAGAATTAGAAAATGGTGGTATTTCTTCAAAATCTTTTCAAACGGTGGACAATTTAAATATTGGTATATTGTAAGTCAAAATGGTAAGTAGGGTAAGTAGATAGTAATAGTAATAGTATAAGTAATAAACAGTAGTATAAGAGTATAGTGAGTAGTAAAAACAGGCCTATGAAAGCTCAATCGGACACAAGTACGAGGTTAGATCTCTCGAAAGCTCATGATAACAAGAAAGCTGCAAGCGCTTGGTAAGTTTGTAATAAAGGGGTGCAAGCTCGCCGGTTGACTCGCGGTCGGTTAAAGGAAAACCAAAAGAGCGGGGTACGCTCCCTCCTGTTTTACCTTCGGCCAGATTATCGACTGTCGCTGGTCGTCGCTCGAGGGTGACGTGTTCGCTCCCTCGGCCCGCTACTAAAATAGTTTTACTGAGGTTTGACTTTGGATTGACAGCTTGTGAGATGGGGGGGATCGCCATCAAGCTGAGAAGGCGATATAACGTAATGCACAAAATAAGGGGGAATAGGAGAATCGGGGAAGCTATATCGCATATATAATTCTTTGCCGTTAAAGAAGAAGAGTATATATAGTCTTCCGTAGCACAGAGACGTTACGGTCTTCGTTTCCCCTTACAGAAATTAAACACTGGAAGGCATAATGATTAATTACTTATTTTAAATATTAAAAGTACTGAGCAACAATGCTTTTAATACTCGAAATAAGTAATTTTTTTATTATTAAATTGGATTTCTGTAAGAATCGCATAGACATTTAGACACACAAAAATGCGTCTATCTCTTCTCTCCCATAAATAAAATAAAATGAAAAATTGTGACTATCAGATAAGCATGTTCTAACGTTCGTTAAACAATAAACATACAAGTTTTGCTATATTTAACAAAATAAATAGTACAATACGAGATAATTTCACCTCTAGCCAAGGCGGCGCAACTCCTGATTGAATTTCACGCGAGAGAGTGCTCGAGCTATTTATACTCTCGCGTAAGTTATTTATACTTGTATAAAACTTAATTAGCGCCGTTTCGCGCTGACTGGATGTGTGAACATATTTACGCGCGCGGCGTAACGTTAGTGTTATTTCGGAACATATACACCCTCTTTGTGTGGAGGGTGCCGCTTCCTACGCGATGACTGTACTAAAAATAGACGCGCGCGCGCACGTGGACTCTGGGCAGGATCTGGCATCTTTCCCTCCGATCCTTTGTTGCCGTCTCTGTGCCCTGATACTCGCACTCTCCCGTGACTTATACTCCTTTTCCCCAACGTTCAAGAAACTGTCGCATGTGTATTATCGGTGAGATTGTTAAAAACAGTCGGACGCTCTCGGACGGAAATGGTGAACCGAATGCGCTTTCGCGCATTGTTTCCGTGCTCCAGATAAACTTCACGCTCTTGGCAAAGGTGCTACCGGGTCACGTAACGATCGTCGGATGTTTATTGCATTTGACTAACGGCTAAGTTACGGTGAAGTCATGACTGCCGAAAATCGTCTCCAACCTACCGGATATTTTCTCGGCTGCAAGCTTTGTTCTATCACTTTGAGGTCCATTTTTCTTTTCACCGTAAAATTTGCCACTTGCCAAGAGAGTAAGTTTAAAGAACACACGGAAAGGTCTTGGATACTCAAGCCATTTCTGACATGCGTTAATAAGATAAATATCGGAGGCACATTATTAGATACCACAAATCGATCATATAGAATGCTCGTAAGAAAGAACGTATGTAATTATGTATTATAAGGAATAAATCGCTCTCTGCTAGGCGAGAAGTACTTATATCTTTCCGCACAATCTTTTCTTTCTTCGCAATCAAGGCAATTGGGAGAGACAAAGCAAGTGAGGAGAAGACATTTATCTAACGGTTTCTATCTGCAAACATGCAAGACCTCGCGCTCCAATGAGCTACATATATATCGATGTTATAGTTCGCGACGCGTTATAGAGTGCTCGTTGCCCGCGATGCACGGCACAGAAGGCCAGATGGTCACTATCTGTCAACATCCGCGACATGAAACATCGCATGCAGGGATATTATTATTTTATTCGCGTTACCATAAATTATTATTTAATCGCTATATATACATATACGTGTGATTACACACACGCGCGTCGTACACTCGCAATTATATAAATGCGCGAGCGAAACTTTCCGGGACCGAATTGCGATCGCGACATTGAAATATTTTTTCCGTTTCCTTACAATTAGATATCACAAATGAAATCTTCGCGGACCGAGTCATGGACGATGGGAATGATAAAGCAAATCGCTATTCAATGTCATATATCAACCTTCGAATAATCAAGAGTGATTGCGATATTTCCCTCAACTTGCCATTGATATAGCTACGCCATTCGTTTTAATTGTTTGTAAAACGATCGATAAGATCCGAAGGTTTCAATCAGTCCGTGGCCTTTAGAAAAATAAATGTTCCGCCAGAGCTGTAGGATTGAAACGCAACGCGGCTAGGGGAACCATATATATTGACGATCGTAAAATAAAACACCGCTTCACAGAAAGCGCGCTAATGCCAGATCAGGCGCGACTCTCGCGGACACGAAGAATGGCGTGGAAACGAGTGCGCAGAGTGGATAGGTCATCGTGTACTTACAAACGCTGCAGGTGAGACTGCGACAAGGTGCTCTCGCCGTTTCCGGTTTTACCGCTCGCTTCGAGATAGCGTCCAGACTCGCCGCGTGAGAGACACTCCGTGAAGGACCCTCCGCGGCACCCGCCGAAGACGAGTTCGCGCCCTCCCAGATTCCCGACTTTTGCGAGACCTGAAAAGCGCGACGCGATCGCGTTGACTGATTAATTTATTTGAAAGAAATATTTATTAAGGTATATATTCCTAACGATTACCTCATACCTTGTTATCTTTCCTGATACAGCCTTGGCCATAAGTAAAAAGCATTGCACTCTCAGTTTATTGCATTTTCTTGAAAAAAAGTGGCAATAAAAGCCAAAGAAGGACTACCAAAATATTAAAATTGTTATAAAAATAAATATTATTTTTTAATAGTCCGTTTTTAAGTTAATTACTTATCGTTATTTATTTATTTTTCGTTAGATATAGAACGTTAATTTTTAGAGTGCTTTATACTTACGGTCATAAGGTTGTAATTACAGATAAGTATGACAAAAATAAATAGCTAGCTGGCTATTACAATTCGAAAGAATTTGCTACATAATGAAATGTCAATTAATGCATGATTACGCTTTTTGTCGCATTTTCTCTTATTGACGTTTCGACGAGAATCTAAAGGGTAGAATCTCTAGGGTAGTTTCTGTAGGGTAGAATCCTCCAAGAAAAGAGAATTCTTCCTGCAGTCCTACGTCGGCAGAAGGTGGCAGCTATTATCCTTAAAATTCGAGGAATCTCATTGGGGAAGCAACGTAGATACTGGGCACATAGGGCTGATCCTATTAGCTCGATTCGATAGCACGACCGGCGTCCATTACCGTCTAGCGCCGTCCGGGCGTGCTCGTGAAATTGAAACGGACCGAAAGGGCGTAGGTAGGTGCGAGAGATAGCAATTCGCTCTCGCACGGTCGTCGCGTATACAAGAGTTCCGACATATGTTCGGATTGTACGGTTAGCAGCTCAATGCATGCGCCGTTAATTCGTGTAGTACGGCCGTGCGATAACCTTTGCCCGTTCCGCAGCTATACCTACATACGTGTGTCAGTCGTGTATCGCTGCCGACGATGAAACTTTGTCCCGAAATTTCGGGCTATCGTCGCCACGCGTGCACGCTGAACACGCGCGTTTAAGCGCTCGTTACTAACGTTACTTTTCGAAAACGTGATTAAAACCGGCGTTTCATCGAAACTCGGCGAACGAATTTCATCGGAGTCTCTTTCCGGCCGGGATACTATTCGTTAACAAAAATATCCTACACCTGGTGTCACTGGCAACGTTTCGTGCGAACGAGCGTAATGCGGAATTCCATCGGGCATAAAATATTTAATAATTATATTTCCTTCTACATCTCTCTTTTTTGCAATTTACTGTCCCAAGAAGAACAAAAAGTCATCATGACGTCAAAGTGGTTCCAAGATGATTAAAAAAAATCACTTTTCGATCAGTTACGATTCATTTTAACGTCACCTTGACGTTATCGTGACCCGTTGTCCTGAGGTATTAATAGTCTGAAAACTTGAAAGCGGTTGCTTTTTACGGACGATTGTAATGAGAACGTACTTAATTTTCTTCCGTTCGCGTGCGAAAATTAAATAACCTCTCATCCACTGCAGTCTCATTCATACGTATGCATTACTAATGACGCCACTTAATTAACCGCCGGTTTAACTGATCGCGATATAGGCGCGATCGCGTGTTCGTATATAGCGAATTGGCATCTCACGGCGCTGGACGCCAATTTTTTCTACTTACGTCGCTCACTCCTTCGGGACTCGCGATGGGAGCGGTGGTGCCGGGCTGCGGTATGCTCGGGGTAATCGCCGACGTTGTTGCGCCACCATTGTTGTTGCCGCCGCCCGACGGCGGCGGTGGTAGACCCGGCGGGGGTGTGCCGGTTCTCCCAGGGCCCCAAGATTCCATCATTGTGGGCGAGCCACATGTTAACGGGCTTAAAACATCACATAAAGTTTGATTAATCAGTGGGATTTCATCTCGAGGATTTGTGCGATCAATCATATTTACTGTGTTTGCTTTAATTTTCGAACATTTTTTATGACACTTATCCGGATTGGCTCGGAAATGATTTCGCACCGCGATGGAAGCTAAAATGTGATTAAAGGGGGCGCCGTTTTCTTTAAAGATTTAACCACAGGTTAGTCGGCGCAAATTTAATCCCTTCTGAGAAGCATGAAAATTTCATCGGAACTACGGGAGTCCTCATTAAAAGCAAGTTGTTCGTGAATTTTGATACTCGGCGGGACTTAAGTTATCCCCCGGCTTCATGAAAGATTCAGGCAACGCGGGCGATTATACAGATAAACAATAGCAATTACGAGAAAATCCGCGGTGCAATATTTATTTCCGGAACGCGAAACCCTCGCCCTCCCCCCTCACCGGGTATGAGCGATAAAAAAACAGGTGCCTTCCATTAGCCCGACCAGGAAATTGTGGCTGGCAATAGCCGGCCATATCTGCTATAACCCCATCTCCCCCTCTTTCTCTCTCCTGTCCCTCCCCTCCCATACCTGGGGAAATGACGTTAATCCGGAAGATGGTTCGCGCGCGTAGCTCCAGCCCGTAAATGGCCCGCGGGGTGGCAAACGCGGCGCGCAGAGAAATTTATTGTTATAAATCTCCTAAGGCTATGGGGGTGGTCGATACCGCGATACGGAACGGAGGTCAGACCTCGCGAGTGAAGTGTGTCAGTGTTAGGTCAGACTAGCCAATCGATAAACAACCTGAACTCGCGCGGCGCAACGCGCGCTCGTACGTGCATGCGTGCGTGCGTCGCGTTAATTACGACCGCACATTTCGATGGCGCAGCTCGCGCGCGCCGCCGCTGGTGTTGTTTCGTTAAACAACACCATTCTCCATCATGCCTCGATCCGTTATAGCATCCGCGGACAGGCGGCCGCGTCGTCCCTTTGTATCGCTTTCAATTCGTAGAACCCGGCGTATTTGTAACGCGATTAGATTCGATCGGAAGGGAATTATACGGTATAGGTATAGGAACAAAAACGTACGGGCAGCAGAACGTTTGCGTTAAGCGAATGTACAAACAGCCAATTACAGATACGCCGTGCACCGCATAATGCAACGGCCTTCTATGCGGCGGGCCCGCAGGAGCCATTCGCGCGCGTCCGCAACTATCCGGTTGGCCGCTTCATTATACTAACTGTTTCCTTCCATTGTTAGACACGTGCGAATGTAAATTTGAAAAAAGTGCTCGACGAACTCGCTGTGATCCGCTGAACTTCCGAGTGTGCAGCGCTAATTAAAAAAAGAAGAAATAAATTGAACCCAGGGTACCAATCCACGTAACTTTTTCCCGAGATGAGAAACGGGAAGTGACAAATTTTTAACATTAAAGTTAAAATGGTGGAATTTTTAATTTTTGCACGTTTTCGTCCTAGGGAAAGAGTTACATGATCGGTATAATCCTGATGCAATTAGATCAAATTACGGTTCAAATGTGAACATTTATGTAACAACAACTAGCGAGACACCTGCGCGAAATTTACATTAGAAATAACGACAGTGTGTTGAACAACGTAATTAGAAGTTGCGGAACGGCGGGACGTTGTATTCTCTTAACAGCTTCGCTTGACGTGTTTATCCACGATGCGGTTCGCCCGCAGTTTTGCGAGACGTCGTCGACATTGCGAGCGCGCGGCGGCGCGCTTAATTACTGTCATTCGGATTTAATTAATTAATGCCTCTCGCTCTCAATGTGCCGAGGATTTAACACGAGATTAGTATTCGGCGCTCGATGAAATTGGTCCTCGCGCCGTTTGTCTGCTAATTGAACGTAAAAACCCAGGACTCGGGGAAGGGTAACAAACACGTGCAGGACGAGTGTTAAGGGGAACCGGGAGGAAGGAGGAGGGTCTCGTTTAATTCGCTGGAAAGTTTATGCGGTCGACGAGTCGCCGGAGCGCAGTCAGGCTGAATCTGCAAGAATTCTTGCAATGGCGAGCACGGGGATCTTTTTCGGGGACTTCTGTACTGATACTCATGGCAGTTAGGAACGGGAAAACGTTGGTATCCGTTTGGAAAATGTCCAACGGCGCTCGAGCACACAGCGGCGGTGAATCGTTGGACGGAGGGCACGAAATCCTCATAAGGCAACGAGGGCGACTCGTCGATACACAAAAGCGAGAGATACACAACACTCCTTTTGTTCGACCCCTTTTCACGAAAGCTTTCGTTCGAAAACGATTCGTCGTTTGCCGCCTCCTTTGCCTCTCGCCCCCAAGCTCCGCGATTTGTATGCATGAGCGATGTTGCAATGAGCGAACGTAACGCGGGTCAAGTTCATCATTCGAGCAAATGAAGATGCGATAAACTGCGCGATTGACGACGAATATACCCGTATCTCGGGTATATTTGATTTCGAGATTGCGAGGTTGTTGATTTTTTTTTTATCAGACAATCGAGCAAAACGATCTTTACTTAAGAGATTAAGATAATGAATCAGCTGAGTCAATAGCAATTATTCGGAAAATGCGAATTTACGAGCGAAACTGTTTGATTTCAACGTAGCGTGAGCAAACCTATAACAATATAGGTCTAACTGGTAGCGTCAAATATTCAAAAGCATCGACATTTTCGAGGAATCGGTTCTCGCCAGCTTCCCAAAGGCGAAATTATTAGCGGCGAATAGAATTGTGGGCCGACGAAAACAGTCGGAGTTACCGCCGAGATCGATGAATCTTGCACCGATATTTATCGCAGGTATTTCGCGTTCCGCGTGTCGCAAGGGGCTGAACTTTATCGCCGGATGCGATCAGCCGGCTCGCGCGCGCGGTGGATTTATCGACGTTTACAGTATCGAGGTAACCCTGACATCGATTCCCGGCGGGCGTGTTGACAGAGTGATTTCGTAATACAAATAGATGCACGTAATAGTGCTGTTTCTTTCTTCGGTTAAAAAAAAAGCTTAACCGCGTTTTCAGGCCGGTCTTTGTTGAAACGCGTATATAAAAGAATGCCTAACGTCTACAATACATGTATACAAATTTCCCTGTTTCGTAATTGGGGAAAGGGGAGTAAGACGACTGAAAGTTTGTCGATTTTTCCTAATTTCTGTAACGACATAAAAATAATGATTTTATTTTTAAGCAGATTCATTAAAGATGCTTGCTTGTCATCTGTAAGAATTGACAAACTGTTAAATAAATAAAAATTTAAAAGATTTTTTGCATTAGTAAGACCTGTACAGGTTAACCTAACCAATGTAAAAAAAAAAACTAATTAATTTGACGCAGTCACGTATTATAAAATGCACATTAACGAAAATACATCTTATCCCTATATACAAAGTTATTTTACCCTTTCCCTTTGTGTCCTATATTCCTCGGATTTGTTATATTTCTCTATATCCAAATTAATCGAAACCCAATTTCTTTCGTAACTCAATACACTCGGCGGTCAGACGAAAAACACACATTTGCAATTTTCTCGGGGCAGAAAAATATCAGACTGCATTTATTCGTTTGCATGTCAATAATTTCCGCGCCCGGTATGTCGTTAGCGCGCCACGCTGACATTTCCAGCGGAAACGGCGCGTCCGCAGTGACGATAATTTGTTTTTGAACGAGATATAACCGCGCAATTAGGGGGGAAGCTTGATACTTTTCCTATACATATATATATACATATATATATATATATATATACTCGATAAAACCACACCGACATTATTTCACATTATTGACCTTTCTAGCACTCCGTGATGAAAAACGCAAATATACTGTATCGTACTAACGTTCTCCTTCTAGTTGAACTCTCTCTCTCAAAGAGATTGCTTCAAAGTAAGTAACATCTCTCGTCACAATTTTATGCGCATTCGTATAAAGAAGAGACTCTTGTTGTTTCCCAAGAAAATGCTAACTTTCTTTTTCAAAGCGACAAGCATGCGGAATGTAGATACTGCGACAGAGCTTTCACGACAACCCGATTAATTTCTTCAACATACGTATAACTGACTGTAATACGCAAATTCCAATTAGATCACGGTGCGTGAATATACATTGCGTCATAGCAAATCTATCAATTATAGTTTCTCTACGCCACCTTCATATTCGCGAGCGCTATTGATAATGCGCGCGAGAAATTGGAGCGGAAAATTATGTTCATTGTTTAAATCAGATTCGCGACGGTGTATGTACGTTCGCCCATCGTGGATTTGAAAATACGTTTCAGCAGCGACGTTTGCGCGCATACGCGCGGCTGTTAATCGCAGAGAGAAAGAGAGAGAGAGAGAGAGAGAGAGAGAGAGAGAGAGAGAGAGAGCTGAGAGAGGTTTACGCGATATTTAAACTGCAACAAAAAAAGAAAAATTCGGCTAAAGATTAAACTCTTCCCAAAGGTTTAACCTACATATCATTACCGTTATCGTGTCGCTCGATCGGGCAGGTCGGGTTTTTCCACGAATAAGCAACTCTCGCCACGATTTCATTGTGCTATGATTAATTATAGCTGTGTTTAGGTTCCCCCGCGTAATTGTCTCACGATATCCACGATTATGGTATTGTGAATCGGTGTGACCTCAAAAAGGGAACAGTTCTTTTTTTTTCTACAATTCCTACGTTAATTAACTTTAAAGCGAGCTCGCTTCCATCCATGTAATCAACGAATGCGTGTTCTCACGCGAAGGTCTCCGGGAGCGTGCATAATTTCCCGTCGAATTATTATAGTGTATTTCGCTCGGCCAAAAACTCGTCGGCGACCTTCAATTTGGAGAAGTCTTCGCGGCAATTCCGCGGATATTTTAAATCTCAAGTTAGCATGCGATCTCCTTTTTGCGAATTCAGCACTGCAATGTAATGTATCGCTATTCTATACTACTCAATTAGGTTTTTGCGAGGAAAGTGACTATTTGTGCAGCACACAAATTTGCCGTTGATTTAATAAAATATTGTACAAATGTGTAAAATCTGAAATTAA